AAAGAAAGGGAGAAGGAAAGAAAGAGAAAATCCTGCTCTGATTTGAGAGGTCCAAATCAGATGTTCATAAAGCTAATGTGGAACTTAAGATTTTTAATCCTACATTGTACTTTTTTCCAAGACTACCTCAATACTTTCAACTTAATAACTTAAACTGTTCAACTTAATGCCACATTTTAATTAAATGCCATTCTCCATTTACAACATTCTTTAACTGGAAATCCCCCGAGACACTTTGTTCCTAGTCTTATCATTTGAGATCTCGTAAGAGGACCCAGGCTGAGGGTTGCTTCTGATCTGGACCTCTCACAAACAGTCTTAGGAAATGCCTGGTAAATTCTCCGTGTGTCATGACCAACACAAGGACAGCAACAGGGTCCAGCGCGTGTGGCCTCTGGCCACCACCGTGGGAGTAGGGACAGTGGACATGGGAGAAGACAGAAGCGCCATTGTACTGCCCTGACGCCAGGTTAACTGGGCTTCAGGGTCAGGCTAGTGCAGTTCCTATTCCTACAAACCTCAAAGTTTCAACTGGACCAAGACCACAAGGCAGGTAAGAAATAGCCCTCTACTCTGAACAGTAATCAGTTTTATCCTAAAAGCTTTAAATGTGGTGACGCCTAGGGAAATAGCTCAATAGGTTCCTTCAACACAATGACAAAGATTTCACCTTAACAATTATGGCCTAAAGTCAGAATAACATAAAATCAGAATAACTAGCTTAGAAAATCATAAAATGCTGCCCTTAATTTGCAAAAGTAACATTGTATAATTTGCAAAAATAACCCAAGCTCATTGTATCACTAGCTGCTTTCTACACATAGCATTTCAATGATCTTACATTTAATTAGACTTTGCATTATAGCAGGCACTGCGTAATAGCCCTAAACCAGGACTATCTGTACAGCTTCTGGGGCGTGCTAGGAAATGCTGATGGATTCTTTAAAACAGGCCCCAAGTAAAATCCTTTCCAAAACCAGTTACCGGGGCCCGGGATTTAGCCTACTGGTTCTGCTGCCTGCCTCACAAGCACAAGGTCCCTGGTACCAAAAAAATAAATAAATAAAAACCCAACCAAACAAACGTTACTGTTTATTCTGGCTTTCTCCTTGGTTTGTGGAGCCCCCCAAACCACACCCAGGCTGGGGTCTCCAGCCCCTGAAGGCTGAGGAGCCCCCAGCAAGTCCCAGGGCTCCTTCTGCACCTCTACTCAGGAGAAAATCAAAGGCAGCAGTGAGTGAGGCGGGAGCACAAGTCCCATGGGGCAACAGCTAACCAGAAGGCAGGCGGTGGGGTGCGGTGGGCAGCAGGCCACTCCCTCACCCCCACGTGAGACCCTGGGCTCCACCCCTCAGGAGGAACAGCAAGCAGTGCGAGCTTAGACTTCCCAGGATGGGACGCAGACCCAGCCCCACCCCGCCTCTCCTGCATTCTCCCAGCAGGGCCAGGACTCTGCGCTCCAACCTCACCATGTCTGCCCAGGCCACACTTCCTGCAAAATCACACAACTTCATTTAAGACGAGCACGAGACATACAATCCTGACAACTTTCAGACAGACCGTACTGGGTTTTTTTTGTACCAGGGATCGAACTCGGGACCTTGCGCTTGTGAGGCGGGTGCCGGAACCACTGAGCTGAATCCCCGACCCTACAGACCGTACTTTTAATGTCAGTATACTCTACGCCAAATGTCTCACTTGAGCCAATATATTGTGTTGCTGCAATACAGTGAAGGTTTTCATTTTATAGTGTTGCCAGGGATGGTGGTGCACACCTGTAATCCCAGCACTCAGGAGGCTGAGGCAGGAGGGTCGCCTGGGCCACATAGTGAGTTCAAGGCCAGCTCAAACTATATAGGGAGAGCCTGTCTCAAAAAAATAAATAATAAATAAGTAAATTTTACAATATTTACTACGATAAAAGACACACTGCCGTGAATTCCCCTCAGAATTCTCTGTCTCTCTTCACACACACTCCTCCACTGTCCTCGCCCCTTCCTGCAGCAGCTCCGGAGTCCTCTTTCCTGAGTGTCTTTAGCTGTGCTGTCCTGGCTGCCTCGATGTCCTGAATGGATTCGAAATGTTCAGACTTTGGGGGAGAGCCGGAAGTCACATGGTCCCAGATCTGGTGGATAAGGTGGAGGAGGACAGTGTCATGTTTTCATGAGCTGCCTCTCCACTGGACGGCGTTCAGCAGCATTCACTGCTTCTGATCACACCTCCTACGGACACTCACAAAAGAAGGCTCCAGAGCTGCTGCAGGAAGTGGCGAGGCCACAGCAGGACGCGTCCGAAGTGGAGGGAGTCTTCCGAGGGACTCGTGGCAGTGTGTACTGCACTGTAACAATTCCTTTTAGAATTTACACACCACCGTGTATTCCGAGTGCCCTGGAGCTTAGAGCTGAAGTACCTGTGCCAGGTCCTACCTGTGGTGAGCTCCACTTCCCCTCATCAAAGATGTCGCCTAGGATGAAGACGACTTCAGGCTGCAGCACCCACAGGGCCGTCTGGAAGGCTCTCTCCATCTGCCATTCCCTGGGCACACACGGGAGCAGCAGTGTCGGGCTGGAGGGCACTGTACAGCCTCCTGGGAGCTGGACTGACCAGTCCTGGCCTCTGCCCTCTGTGCCCCCACCTGGCCCCACCCTGACTCTGGTCACACGTGGGGAGCTGAGGGCCGGAGGAGCCCCAACCCTGCCAGCGCTGAGATCCAGAGCCACGGCTGCGCCTGGAGCCTGAGTACAGGGACTCAGCTCACAGACCCTGTGAGCCCCACTTGGGAGACTACGGCCCAGGCTTCTGTTCCACACGTGCGTGCGCGTGCACAGTGCTGGCTCTGTGTGTGCCAGGTGGGCACCTGCACCAGGCTGCGCCCCAGCCCAGAGGTAGCCGGGCCTAAGCAAAGGCCAGGAGCTGCATCTCCTCAGCCAGCCGTCCCCGCCTGGCACCGTGGGGACGGGCATGGGGACCCCTCTGTCTTCTGGATCCCCAGAGGGGCAGGTGGACGCCACGGGGGGAGAGGAGCTGGTGGCGGCCACTAGGGCAAGGAGAGGCCCCACTGCCATGGCCACTGCTGCCCAGTGATGCCATCCTGGAGCTAGGGGGCCACGAATGTGCGGCCCTCCGCCAGACGGGTGAGGAAACAGATCTGTATCCGAGCCAGGACTCGGGGGACATGGGGCACAGGATGGACCTCTGGACCTCGGGGCGATGCGAGGGGGAGTGAGCCGCTTGCAGAGACAAGCATGGCGGGCCTGGAGGGGCCAGAGACAGGGCGGAGGATGGAGGTCGCCCAGTGGGAGGAGGGCAGGCGGTGAGTGTTCAGGGCCGGGCTTTCTCGGGGGAGGAAAAGCCGTGGTGACCAAACGGTGGCAAAGGCTGCTTAGCCGTGTGATGTACTTAGTGCCACTGAGCTGTGCGCTTAAGCTGACAAAGCACGGTGTGTGTATTTCACCACAATTAAATGCAAACATGAAGCTTTCTGGGGGACAAACAGCCGATGGTGCTGGGCAGGGAGCGGGTCCCTCCCAGGGAGAAGCCACACAGCTGCCCACACCCTAGGGACAGGAATCCCAAAGGCTCGTGCTCCCTGCACCCAGCACCCCACAGCCTTCTTCACCCAGCTGCAAGGTTGCTGTCCAGTCAAGAGCTGCACAGCGACCCCCAGGTCTGAGCCCAGATCCGAACCCTGCACGCAACAGGCCCCTGCAAACAGCGGCCAGAAAGCCTCACAGCCCAGCCAGAGAGGAAGGCAGTGGGGAGTGGCTGGGCCATGGGGACAGTCCCGGGCCCAGTGCCGCTCACCTCCGGAGCTTGTCCAGCCAGTGGCCTTGAACTTCCCCCAGCAGGTGGGTGTCTGCCAGGACCATGGCTCTCAGCACAGGTGCCAGCGGCTCTCCACCCCAGGCAGGTGCCTCCACCTCAGCCCAGTGACACCGGCAGATCACTAAGTAGTAGATGAAGAACTCGCAGAACAGCAGCCCAGCGAAGATGATGGCTGTGAGCTTCAACGGCAGCAAACTCCTCTTCAGAAGGCGGAGGCCCTGCCTTCCCAGCCCCCACCCAGCAGGGCCCATGGCTCCTGCCTTTGAGGCCCAGGCACCAGGGCCGAGTCCGTCAAGAGTCCGGAGGGGAACTGCAGAGGCTGGGAGGGTGCAGATGGAGTCCAGCTGAACTGCCTGCCTGCCACAAAGAGAAAAGGAATGGTCACGTTCCTTGACTCGCCAGCGTTGCTGCCTCCCGCCTGTGAGAGGTGAATCGGAGTCCTGTGTACATCCCCAGAGCACCCGGTCATCTTCCCTTCATTCTGCCGTTTAAATTATGCACACTGTGGGATTCTCATATTAGAGAACCCATGTGGCATTTCAACTTGCGTGTCCGGTTTACCCCTCTTAACCTGTGGTCTCAGCTGCGTCCATTTCCTGCAGATATCCTTCCTCCTGCCACAGGAGTACTCCGTGGTGTGCGAATGCCACAGGAAAGGCAGATGACAGGGAAACGGGGAGAGAGAACTTTTGAGAAAGGGAAGGAGACCAAGAGACAGGGGAGGGGAAAGGGAGAGAAGCAGAAAGCATTAAGATGAGTCAGGCACAGGACCCGACGCCCACAGGGAGTGCGACCTCTGGGCACCACAAAATGCACCCATCAGGCTGGGGACCATGCCTGCCTGGCAAGCATGAAGTCCTCAGTTCGATCCCCAGTACGGAAAGAAAAAAATGCACCCATAAAAATACAAATTAATCAGAGCACATTCGCATGCGATACACCAGACTGAGGATAAAATGAACTCCTGCGGGGGACTGAGCTCAGCGGCACCGCCCGTCTGGCAAGCACAAGGCCCTAAGTTCACTCCCCGGTACTGAAGGAAAAAACTAGCTTCTTTGACGCCCCTCTGCCTCTGTGAGCAGGGACGACGCTGCAGGAACGCGCCTCCCACTGATGGGAGGACCCTCTAGAAACCAAGCACCAACCAGGGCCCTCCGAGGGTGGTGCTGAAGTATGAGACCCCGTGGGGAAGCCGGCAAACACCTCCTACCGACAACCTGACTCCCAGAAAGACCCGCGACCCCCACCAGGATCCCAAACACCAACAGGGTCAGCTGGGCCTGGGGGTACACAGCTATCATCCCAGCACTCTGGGAGGCTGAGGCAGGAAGACTGCAAGTTCGAGCCCAACCCAGACAGCTCAGCAACTAAGTGAGACCCTGTCTCAAAATAAATGAAAAAGGTGCCGATGATGGAGCCCAGTGCAAAGGCCCTGGGTTCAGTCCGCAGGACCACAAAGACAAAAATCGCAACAGATTCCTGCAGCCCCTGGTGAGCACTCCGTCGCTTTCCTACTCTGCTTACCCCCAGGGAAAGGGGTATTTGTGGGTGCTGTGCTTCAGAGACTTGACAATTGTCCCCAGGGCCACCGGGGACAGCCCGCACCCAGCGTGTGATGATCCACTCTGCACCCACTCATGCTCCTCACATTCATGGGCTCCCCACCAGGGCCCTGATGCTCAGGCTGGGAGACGGGGTTTCGGTGGGACAGAGGCTTCTCTCTGGGAGCCGTGCAGGGTTCCGACTCATCCTGAGTTGTTCTGGGGTGTCCAGGGGCCAGAGCCGGCGAGGAGACCCTGTGAGGGCCATGCCTGGTATGTGGTACTGCCTTGTCCTGGCCAGCACAGGAGGGGACAGGGGAGGAGGCGGACACCCTGGGGCTGCATCCTCTGCCCCCTCAGTTTCGTGCGGGCAGGGGACAAGGGCGTCAGTGTGCTGCGCTCAGCCATGCCCTGTTGCTCATGCTGGCATTACTGAGATGGCACAGCGCTCCATCCCAAGTGCACCGTTCCAACCTCGTCCATGCAGCCCTCCAGCCCCCCGCCCGCTGCCCTTCCCGGAAACTCCCTGAAAGCCACAAGGGCCTCATCCCTGGGTCTCTGCTTTCAGTGGCTCCTGTGGTGACCTGCAGGGGACACCTGGAGAGGGCACTGGTGGATGACAGCCCTGGGGCACCCTGCCCGCAGCCCTGCCCCTCAAAGCCCAAGCCTCAGCCCCAGGACGAGGCCACCTCCCCAGTCACCCTGGAGAACAGGGCCCACAGGTGCCAAGTGACAGCACAGGCCTGGGTGTGGCCTCCACTCGGCTGGTGCTGGCGACAGAGGGGCTCCAAGGTGCAGTGAGGACGATTCTTAAAGCCCCCCATGCCCTGGGTTTTTTGTTTTGTTTTGTTTTTGGTACCAGGGATCGAACTCGGGTCCTTGCACTTGCGAGGCAGGCAGTGTAACCACTGAGCTAAATCCCCAGCTTGTTCTGGTTTTGATTAATCAAACTTATCAAAGCCCAGGACCTGATCCTAAAATCTCATTAGCTTTCAGAAAACCTGGACTCTCCAAGACTCCTAAGCCCAACCCAGTCTGCAGGTCCCAGAAGAGGAGGAGAGGGGAATCTGCCCTTGGGTGGGTGGGGACACCTGGGTCCCCGGGACACAGCCGGGTGCTTCCCACTGCTCCCCCACCCACTCCGTCCCTCCTCTCAGGTATGACTCAGGCGGAGGCTGCCGCCCAGCAGGAACCAGCCCAAGGGTCACAGAGGGACGGGTGTGGCTGAGCCGGCCCAGGGCTCCCCCTCCCCCACAGACTCCAATTCCCTAGAGCTGGCCCCAGGCCCCTGCAGGAGGGCCACAGGTGACAACCGAGGGGCTCTGGCCTGCCCCAGGCTCCTGGTTCTCGAGCACAAAGACGACCAGAGCAGGCCTAGAAGGCAGAAGGGAGGGGACAGTGAGGGACCAGGAAGAGCAGCTCTACCACCCAGACAGGAACTGAAGGGAGCAAAAGCCGTCCTCTGTCCGCTTTTAACCCCAAGCCCTTAGGACTCCTTGGCTCAAACCTGGAAAACCCTTTTCCTCTGCTGTTGGGACGGCGTGGAGTTGGGTTTCCCCCGGCTGCCTGCAGGTGGGGACAAACCTTCCCCACTTCCCAGGAGCCAGCCAGCACCCGGGCAGGGAACAGGAAGTCTCTCCTACCCCTACCGCAGCAGTGTAGAAGGGAACTGCCCTGGCTCAGCAAGGCCACCAAGGACAGAAGAGCTTCCGGCTTCCGGCTTCCTGCGGGCAGGAGTCAGAGGCCCCTTGAGCCCCTTGCTCCCCCGGCCACCTGGCCCTGCCCTGCTGACCCGAGCTTCGATCTCTGGTCCACACCCAGCTGGGAATACCACCAGCGAGAAGAGCAAGGAGCCACAGCAGACCTCCGGGGGCTCAGGACGCAGCAGCACCACTGTGTCCACGGCTTGCAGGCCACTGAGTGCTCTCAGAAGAGCATGTGAAACGTGCACATTCATCACCAAACCAGAAAACTCAGGACAGGAGCTGGGGCGGAAAGTATGTTCTAGGCATCGTCTGGCTTATGATTCTATCCATATCAGAGCTTTCTTCTGCATTACCATGTTTGGGGTAAAAAAATCAAAATGACAAGGGCTGGGGATTTAGCTCAGTGGTTCTGCTGCCTGCCTTGCAAGCATAAGGACCCGAGTTCCATCCCCGGTACAAAAAAAAAAAAAAAAAAAATCAAAATGACAGAGCGGGACACGGTGGCACACACCTGTCATCCCCACACTCTGGGAGGCTGGGGCAGGAAAACCTTGAGTTTGAGCCCAGCATAGCCAACTTAGTGAGATCCTGGCTCAAAATAAAAATGAAAATAAAAACAGGGCTGAGGATGTAGCTCAGTGAGAAGGCCCTGGGTTTGGCCTCCAGTACCAGGGAAAAAATCAAAATTACTTAAACTGCTACTGTTTTCACTTCCCAAGCTGGATTTGTCAGCATTACTAAGATTACCACGTAACAGCCCAACGGGAACCTCACAGGGTCTCTGCAGAACAGTGTAGATGCCTTGGACGAGACGGCAACACCCTCCAGACCCCTCCTCACAAATGGCGCAAGCTAAGTAGACCCTGAAGGCCTGGAGCCTGTGAGGTCTTGATTTCTGTCATTACACACACTTTACTCCCCATATCACAGCGACAATAAAAATGAAACAAAAGCCTGCTCACTAACATCTGCTATCACAGAATTTTTCAAAAATCTTGGAGAGACTCATTATTGGTTTATGAGATTAATTTGGTGACCTGTAACCAAGAGTTTTTTAAAATAAAATAGCCAGGTGTGATGGTTCATTCTTGTAATCTTTGCTACTCTGGAGGCTGAGGCAGGAGGACTGTAAGCAAGTTCAAACCAGCTGGGAAACATATAGATCCTCTTTCAAAAACTAAATAAAAAGCGTTGGGGATTAGCTCAGTGTAGAGGGCTACATATAATGACAGAACATATTAGCTTGTACGGCAGAGTAAAGGCAAGGTACAGGACACTGCAAGACACTTGTGTTTCATTCTGACACTCATGCATCCGTGCTGGCCGGGACACAGACGCACTTCCCCATGCACACCTTTGGCTTCCTCAGTTTCTCAGCCGGGTCACTTTCTCTTCTGTCCCACACCTAGCTGCACACACACAGTAAGTGCTCAACTGGAGGCCATGACTCGGTGGCTTACTGTCTCACTTCCCAAACATTTTAGAATTATGAACACACATATTCTTCACCCTTTTGCTCTATTAGCGTCTTCAAATGCTTAAAAACCGACAGTTGTAGAAATGGGCAAAGCTGTAATGTGGTCCCTATCTGCCTTGACAAAAAGGTTCACTTTGATGCTGGGCGGAGCAGGTTGGCAAATTGGTGCACAGAACATGCGTTTCCTCCAGGCTTGTGTGGGATCCACAAAGAAGCCAGAGGCCCTCGAGGGCTCGAAAAGTCGGGCAATTTTCCCTTAAGCCTTTCTGGAGAGACTCACAGAAGAGCCCAGTAACTCCTCGCTTCTTCCTTTGCCCTGGAAGTCCAATCCCTGCTGGTCCCGGCAAGCCACTCAGACACAGGAAGAGACACACAGTCCAGAAAGCTGACCCGGCTTCCCTTGGGACCTAAACGCACTACTTTCCTAAGGGTGGGCGGGGCTGGGACAGAGCCCTGCGTGAGCATGCTGGGTAAATGCTCCAGCACTGAGCTACCTCCCAGCCCCAACCCAACTTCTGTATTAAAGGCGGGAGGAGGAAGAGGAAGGGAGGAGGAGAAAAACTAAGTCAGGAGAACCGACCTCACCTCTAAGGATTGCTCTGTACAGGGAGATCAGTACAAGGGCTCTAAACTGGCACCTGCTCCTCAAAATCAGAGTGAATTTATCTGAAATAAAACAGAAAATATGCTCCTTTGCTGAGTGATCATTCATTTAGTGAACTCCCAGCGAGTAACCCGACTGACCTAGAAAGACAAGAGAAAGCCGAGGTGAGAAAAATGACTGTCGTGCTGTTGCTCCAGAATAGTCGGTTAAGAATGCTGGCGGGCTGCAGGGAGAGGAACCTTCCACACTGTTGGTGGAAACGTAAACTGTCCAACCTCTGTCGGAATCCCAACCCTAACCCTCAAAGACCTAAACAGGAATTCCATTCACCCAGCTGTCCCTTCAGGTATCTTCCTGAAAGTCAGGCATCACATCACCGCGGCCCACGCACACCCACGTTTCATAGCAGCACAACTCCTGACAGCTAAATGTTGGAAGCGGCCTGTGTGTCCAGCAAAGGATGAAGGGATAAAGAAAACGCGGCGCTGACACACAATGGAGCACTGCTCTGCCATAACGGATAAACTTGAGTCACTTGCAGGAAACTGCTGCACCTTGAGACCATAATGCCAAGTGGAACACACCAGATACACAAGCTTAAATATCGCAGTTTCTTTTACATGAGAAACTCAAAATATAAATAAAGAGCAACAAAAGTTAGAAACTGGGAGCTAGATCTTTTGCAAAAGGGAAGAGGAGCAAGAGAGAGGAGGAGGCAGGGGAAGGCGGTGAAACAGATTTAAGCTGCGCTGTCATGCACACGGGTGCTGCAAACGCAGACTAATAAAAATAAAGCCTGGAAAAAAACTGCAAGAGAAAACACCTAAGAACTCTGTGGGGGCTCGGGCGGGACGCGCAGCTCAGTGGCCGGTGGACCCATGAAGCCTGCTCTCCAGCCCAGGAAGAAGCCCCGCACACCTGACCCGCGGCCGGCTCCCACTGCCGGACCCGGGGCCCCACTGAGCCCCAGAGGGCCCGCGCGGCGCCTGCCGTCCTCACCAACGCGCCCTCGGCCCTCCGGCGATCCTCGGTCCTCCCGCAGCTCCCCCGCCGGCCTGGACGGCGCTCCGAGCTCTCCCACCTTCATCCCGGGTCCCGCCCCGCGAGGCCGGGGCGACTTCCTGTTTCCGCAGCGCGGGTGGAGCTGTCACGGGGCTCCGCCCACCCACGGCTCGGAGGGCGGGGCGCCGGGCTTCGGGGCGCGGCGGTCCAGGGAGCAGGGACTGGCTGGGGCTGGTGGAGCGGGGCCGCCGCGACGTCCCTGCCTGGCTCGGGACCCCACCCTTCCCAGCCCAGCCCTGGCCGGCACCCTGGCCCAGCACGGACGTCACATGCCAGTGTCCTCAGGAGACAGACGTCCAGGACACTGCAGCTGGAGATGTAGCTGGGGAGCGGGAAGCCCGTGGGACAGGGTGGGAGAAGGTGACTGTGATTCCAAGGACACTCGAGGCCCATCGCGCCTTCAGGGCCCAGGGGCTGTGGTGCCAACTCCCACCCCAGCCAGCCCTGCGTATGGAGATCACCCGGCCGGTCCTTGGGGTGAAGATGGACGCCGGGACTGCTGCCCTGAGCCGTAACCCAAAACAGGATGCAGAGGGAGGTCAGCCTGAGAAAGAAACTGCAAGATCCAAGAACACTGACTAAATCCTAGATGCATAGCAGAGGAAAAAGAGCCCCTCAGTCTTTTCACTCCCTTAAAAGCAAGGCCTCAGGTATCATGTCAGTATTTATAAGGCAGACATTGGAAATAAAACTTTACATTAAAAGAATTATTTAGCATATGAAATCATTTGATAGGCATTTTTCATAAGAATCTCTCATCTGCTTATATTTGACTTGGTTTTGGGGGGAAGTTTACATAGTTATGTCCTGTCCCCTTCTTGACTTGGCTTATGTGGGGCTTGGCGCTCCCCCCGGTGGGGGGCTCTTATCACCATGCAGCCCAGAGCACAGTGGTGCAGCTCAGACTCCTGCTGGCAAGGAAAATCAAGTAAGTTGTAAAAGGTAAGACACTGCGTGGGGAAGCATGCGGGAAATCTCTGTCCTTTCTCCTCCTTGTGCTGTGAACCAAATGGCTCTTTAAAGCCTTCAGAAAAAGAAAGCGAGGAGCACATGTGTGAGGCCCTGGGTTCTGTCCCCAGTACCACAAAATATGTGCATAGGGTGTGGCAGTGCTGATGCTGGCAGTGGTGATGCCAGTGCAGCAGCCTCGCCCCTGTTCTCAGGGGACAGGACCCCGGAGGGTGGTCGGCTGAGGCAGGAGCTCAGCATAGCCAGAGAGCCTTCAGGTGTCCTGCAGAGGAGGGAGCGGTGGCTGTCACCCCAGCTGGCTTTTTCTGGACACATCTAGGGCCTGAGAACCCCCCATGGGACATGGGAAGCAGCCCACCCCTGGTTTCCTTCCACCTGACACCAGCACGGGTCGGGTGGCCTTGTGGTGAGCAGGGCAGGGGATCAGAGCCTCCCAGACTCACGAGGGCTGCAGATTCTCTACCAGCACCCTAAATGCCAGGTGATGAAGGTGATAACTGCTAAACGATCTGTCTTTAGACTCCTAGGTCCCAAAACACTGAGTGACCTTCGGGCTCCCTCAGAACACGGAACTCTTGCTGCATCCTTGAGTTTGTGTCTCAGCCGACGCAAAGCGTGGACATTGCTGTTCAGTTTACCTTGCAGAGGGA